GTGCACGTTGGGGATGAACTCAAGGGTCTAACCACGACATTGGGTCAGACAGATCTGGGATTTCCCGAAGAGATTACTCATGTTGGGAAACCACGTAGCATCTGGAGAGAAATGGGTGAGGCCCTATAAGCACTGGATGTTTATACAGGGTTGTGTCATTAGAGAAAAAGAACTGAAATCACTTCCTGAATGGCAGTATACAACTGTGAAGAAACTTGGGCAATCATAATGCATTTTGGCAGTGGATATGCATCCACTTAGTAAAGTTTTTACATGTATTGTTGTGTACCTGCCTAGGTCACTTTCAGATATTCCTACAGGTACCAGTCCACCAAAATATCTCCCTTTTCATCGCCCCTGGGAAAAAAGTCTCTTCCTGCAGCATCGGAGAAATGAGTTAAAGGAGGTTTTAGAAACGCTGGATTTTCATAGCCCGGTATGATATTTTCAACACATAAAGCCATTTATAGATCAGAAAATTGTCATTTAACAATTCCTGTAAGATTACATTACACATGTCATTTAAACAGTCTGATTCTTCTTTTGAACGATAGAAGAAAAACAAATGAGAACACAGTGCTTTTTCTTATTCTCCCTTCTTGAGGAAGGATCTGGATGGCCTGGAAGTCATAGGCAGAAACCAACCTTTCACCAATGTGTCAGCAGACAGTTTTTCAGCTTGTGATGAAGACAATAAAGAATCTTCTGAAGAAACAATCTCGTATGTTGCAATATTTCATTCAGTCATCTTTAAGGCTTTTGCAGTGGATCAGGTTTCATTTGAACGAGTTGTTAAAAGTGCACATGCATGAATATTCTATTTGTTTGTGTCATTAAAATAGCTGTATCTGTTTTCATGTGGCTTTAGCAGAAATCAGATTGAATTGAAAATATACCTGGATATGGGTGGGCAGTTTTAAGTGCCTCAGTTTAATCTCTAGCACAATTAGTTCAACAACAATATTATTTTGTATGTATTAAAGCCTTTTAGGAAGAATCATTGGCTTAAATAATTGTTGGAAATGTAATGGTCAAAATACATCACTGGTTTATACAGTGTGTTCATGGACTGTGGGGCGGGGAACATAGAATTTATTTCATACATGCACCTACATTGTACGGCAAGGCACATGTATAGCACTGTGCCTCGATATATGGAATGATAGTCATTAGATTCTATCATATAAAAATCTGTACTGTAGCAGTATAGAATAAATAAGTAAATACAGTATAAAGCAGTGGTTCTCAATCTTTTTAATGCCGCGACCCCCAACTGGTCGTAAGTCGAGGACTACTCAACTGGCTGTAAGTCGAGGACTACTCAACTGGTGCAGCACCGTTTGCAGAATGGGACTTTTGGCGGGCTCAGCAGGGCAGAGACAGCCTGGACAATTCCTATTGGCTTTTGAAAGCCAATAGAATTAGACTCTATTCAAGAGAGTCTATTCTATTGGCTTTCAAAAGCCAATAGAATAAAAGGGAGTAGCACAGCTAAGGAAAAGGGGGGGGGGAAATGGCGGACTGCATTGTTTGGTGACCCCCGTGAAATGGTCATTCGACTCCAAATGGGGTCCCGACCCACAGGTTGAGAACCACTGGTATAAAGCAAAAGTTATACCTTGGCTTTTGTACAGTGTGCAGATGTTCACTTTCAGTTACATAGTGTCTGAAGAATTCATCTCAAGTGTTTTACCAGTTGGAACTATTTAGAAATTTATATTGCATATTCAGACTACTGTATACACTTAATTTTCGTACTAGCTAATATGTTTGAATATTTTAAAAAATCATCCAATTGAAAATTTGCTGTAAAAAAAAGGGTTCTGCCAATTCTTCTTCATATTATTTTAATATACAGAGGGTTGAGTGAGTGGGATAGTGCAACCTGGAGGCCACTTTTGTCATTTTTTAACAAAAGTGGTGTTAAAAAGTTTCTATTTGCATTGTCAAGTGAGTTGTTCTTTACTTTTATTAATGTAATGTGGTATATATTTCTATACTTAATTTAATCTTACAGTATTGCACTTCCATTAGAAGCTGGCTTGGATTCATCCCTCAAGTGAACTCTGATTCGGCAAGTTTTTTAAGTCATGAGCTGTCAGCAATACATAAAAGCTGAAGCCTGAATCTTAAAATTATTTAAGATTTCTGATTTTCACTTTGCTTCACAGGGACCTATTAGATGAGTTTCCAGATGTATTTTCAGAACCAATATTTGGTCCCTCTCTGAAGTTCTGTGGACAACCAGCTCGTTGGATCACTACTTCTCATGCGGTAGAGTTGTAAAGAATGTTCAAAATAAAGACTTCCATGTCTTTTACTTTTACTTTTGGGTGGGATGGGTAATTTGTCCAAAACATTTTTTATAATATCAAACAAATTAACAAAATGTTATGGCATCATACTGAAATGTGAAGAAGAGGGAAAAAATCTGGAAAATTATAAACAAAACAGCTAAAAAGACAGTTAATCATGTTGCTTGAAAGTCCTCCTTGTTGGTGGAGGAAATAATTTAATTCAGATGCTATCAAGAAACATATAGGCTTCAAATTAGATGTGGATTTGTTTCTGGCTTTATCCACCCAGGTGTGAACAATTTATAATTCTTTCTTTAGGTACTAATTTTATTAAAGATTACAATTACAACCATAAAAGCTAATGCAAACTAAAAACTAAAAGAATAAAAAGAAAAAATAGAAACTGCAGAAAAGAAAGGAAAAAAAAAGAAAAATAAGAATATAGTAAAGGAAAAGAAGTAAGTTATCATTTATTAAAAAAACACCAAATTTAGTCCTGATGTAAGTAAAAGTCCATTGAGTGTTACCAGAAATAACAACACATATAATTGAACTTTAAATAAACCAATTTTATATTTGTGCCTTTTTCTTCTAAAAATCTTAAGTTTCTTTCAGTAATGTTCTAGAAATTGATTTCATTTTTTTCTTTGCCCCTTCTCAAAAATTTTTTCAAAGCTTTAATAGGTCTCTTTTGAAATCCAATATAGGAAAATCATCCAGCTCATTCTCTTAGTTTATTATTTACATATCCCTGTTAATTATTAAGACTTCAGACAGTTTCTTTTGTATGTCCAATTTAACCTTTCCCCCCTCCATGTCATTCTTGTATCCGATCATTTTAAATCCACTTTCAAATCAATCTCAGTCTTGTCAGGTAAATCTTGTTCCTCTTCCATAATGTCTTTTAAATATAATCTGTATAATCTATCTGTCCTTTCATAGATGCCAATTGTGATTTGAGCAAGATGTCTATTCCCTTGTCTCCCAGAACTCTAAAACTGCTGGGAATCACTATCTTGCAGTCTCCTCACAAGGAGCAGTTGTCTGGAGGACTTGTGGGTGATCTTAAGTTTTCTTCTTGTTTGGGGAGGAATCATCAAAAAGCTGGTCCAATTTTCAGGTCTTCATTCCACCAAAGTTGTTGATTCTGCTTTTCAAAGAGCCATCTTGAGTCCATCATTTCTTCTCTACTAGTTGTCTGAGCAGTCCATAATTCTTTATGGATTCTCAGCTCTGTGGCTCACATTGAAAGCATACCTAGAGCTTGTGGGCTTCAGTAAGGACCGGAAGTGCATCCAGCACTGACAGAATCTACCTGTGGGCCCTCTGTTCGCTCAACATGAAAGGCCAGCAGTTTCCAATGTGAGCTACACTCAGGATGCACATACCACCTCCAGGAAGTCCCCATCTCTCTATTCCCTATAGTTCCACTGCCACCCTGAATAGCTGCCAACTTCACCTGGAGAGCCACTGCCTCTTCTGCCTTGCCAGCCCATCCTGCTGTGCTCGCCATGATTTGCAGGTTATCAGTTTTTTCAGTGGTGGCTGAACATGAGGTATCTCTGCTCACACTGCTAACCTGCGCCCCCAGCAGGGTTTGGTAAGCCAGTTTTGGCAGACAAAGCTCCAACAGCCTGCTATGCTCGCTACACACATCCCAGAGCTGTGCCCTCACCCAGTCACAGGAGGAAGAAGTCGGCAAAGGTCATTTGGGGGAGTAGCAGCAGTGGGGCACTTCAGGGATATCAGCAGAGTGCAGGACAGCCAAAAGGGCAGAGGTAGAAGGAAACAGGTGGATGGGAGGAGTTAAAGCAGAGACAGTTCACACGCAGCAGAAGAATGTGATTGTGGGATGCCGTGACCAGTCATAAATGCAGGTTGGTCACTAATTATCTAAGCTTTAATCCTGGGACCATGGAGGTGCTGTAATCGTAACTTCAAACAATTGCTGAATAAATGGTCATAAGCTGTGGACTATCTGTCTATGAGTTAGTGTTCCAACAGCAAGGCAATTTAATAATTTAGCATTCTGAGATGTGTAGTGTACAAAATGAAATGTTCCCTTTTAAGTTTAAAAGAAACAAATTCTATGTTTTTAAAAGACTGGTTCTTTACAAATCTGGAAGTTACCAAAGTTGGAAACACTGTTTTGGACCATCTCCTTGATCTTCTTTAATCTGAGGCAAAATTAATGATAAATTTAAATTTACCACCTGCAAAAAAAAAACTTTCTAGAACTCTTGATTGACTGATTGTGTGTCATCAAGTCAATGTTGACTTTTAACAACTACATATGGTAGGTAGACCTATATATCTTTATAACAGGATGAATAAAAGAATCAGAACAGAGCCTAAACCCCGGCCCATTAAGATATCAACATTATTAAGACATAAGGTTTCTCAGCATCAAAGAAAATAATTCTATTTTGAATTAAAGTGATTTTATCCATTTAAAATCTTTGATGCTTCCTATTTATGTAGTGATATCCAAGATACTGCTACAACTTAGTCAGTAATTCATGTCCAAAATAGCACTTTAAATCTTAGCATCTACATTAATCAAGAAAATAGATCATTAATTGGAGCATTTAATAGGATGCTTGCCCAGTTGGATTGTAATATTCACCTCATAGAAATTGAGAGTAAAAGTCTTTGGAAAAAGTAGCAGTAACTGCCATCACAAATAAGATAAAACCAATATGCTTTTGTTTGAATCAGTTTTAATAGGAAACCATCAGAGCAAATTTATAAAGGATTTCATGATGGCCACCATTTTTTGAGGAGAAACATATACCTGGTATTGAGGTTAGAAATCTGATCTTCTAATAGCTGTTGAAGTTCCACATGTTGTAAAAGGAGTCTGTTGATGAGAAATGGGAATAAAAAATTAAGTACTGTTGATTTGTATATCTGGAATCTGTATGTTCTGCATACATTTTCCATATAAATCACAAACAGAAGACACACTATTGCGGTGATGGCAAACCTATGAATGCTTCTCAACAGTGTGATTTTTGGTGATATGACTAGAGACTGTATGAGAATCTATTGTACTCTCGTGCAGGTTCCAGAACCTCTAGAAGTCACTCAAGTCACAGCCTCTGCAGCCTCTGAAAAACATGTGAGAACTTCCTGCACTTTTTTGGAAGCTCTAGAGACCAGAGGAGAATATGGTGTATTCCAGACCAGTGTTCTCCAGACCAGTCACATGCAAGGGCCCTGCTCTCGTGTGATCTTTGGAGCTTCTAAAAAAAGAGTGAGAACAGTTCATGCTTGTCTGCTTTTTTTGGGAGACTGAAAGACACTGAAGTTTTCAGGTCTCATGCAACTCATAGCTGCCTCAGATAGGTCATTTTTTTTTTAGACAAAACAAATAGAAAATATTTACAATTATGTAAATTTTTAAATTATTATTTATTAAAATTATATGTTGCCTATCTCACTGTCCAAAGCAATAGCAATAGCACTTAGAATTATACATCACTCCATAGTGCTTTACAGCCCTCTCTGAGCGGTTGACAATGTCAGCCTATTGTCCCCAACAATCTGGGTCTTCATTTTACCGACCTCAGAAGGACGGAAGGCTGAGTCAATCTTGAACTGATCAGGATCAAACTCCTGCTGTGGGCAGAGTTTGCCTGCAATACTGCATTCTAACCACTGTGCCACCAGAGCTCATACACTTTTTGCAACTTTCTGTTATGAATTGTCTCTTTTGTCCATGTGTCTGTGCATGGTGCATATGTGCATGTTTGTGTGACACACCAGCAAACTCAAGTTAGGCATTTTCTGAATTTTTGACATGTCAAGCTCAAAAGGTTCACCATCCATTGGTGTTTCTTAATTTTTTATAAGTTAGTTGCTCATTAGATTTTAATCCTCTTGACAGTGCTGTCTGATATAGTAGAATAAAAAAAAAACACAATTTGGGTAGTGTAAAGGAGAAATCCATATACCAATGATCTAATAATAATAATTATTAAAGTAATATAATAAAAATACTTTAATGCAACTAAAACCCGACATTTACTTTTAGCTCTTTGTTGGGCAAAGCCAAGGAAAAAAGTAAACATCCTGGCAGTTTGTTTTCTTTCATTCCAATAGGGTGAAGTTGGCATTGCAGCCAGGGTCACCTTTGAAATTCTTGTAGGTGATAAAGCTGAATCTCGCCTCACAGTGAGCAATGATGGCACAACAGCCATCTGGTATGACTGGCAGAGGCTACCTCCACCTTTTACTTTTCAGGAGAAAACAAAAAGAGGGATACAGAATTTTTACTTTAATACTAGATCAGGTGGGTGATCTGTTTATTATTTTTTTAAGTCAAGCATTCATTCATTCATTCATTCATTTGCCTTCCATCTCACTCTGCAAGCAACTTTGGGCAGTTTACATTTAAAATAATAAATATTAAAATACTAACAATAGTAAATAGAAAACTAAAAAATGAAAGGCAGAACGGTATGGTAGAGGCATTTTCCCTATTCATCTACCAGGCCCTCTAGCATAGAGCGTCCCCAACTGGAGCCCAAGCCAATTGACAGAGCCAGGTTTTAATGACCTTCCAGAAGGCCAAAAGGTTGCAGACTCAGGTGGGAAGATGTTCCAAAGAGGGTGGACCATAGCAGAAAAGGCGTTGATCCTAAACATCAAAACTCTTTGATTGATAGGGTCTACAGCATGCCCCTTTTGCTGAATTGAGTGGAATGGGCCACCAGTCCTATTTGGGCAAGAGAGTTCCTCAGATAGCCTGGTCCCGTTCCATGAAGGGCTTTGAAATTGTTAACCAATAACTTGGAAGCAAACTGGCAACGTCCAGTTCATGCAACAGTGGTGCACCATTCTAGGGGCAGCCAAAACTGTCTGTGCTTGTGATGGCTGATATAAAAGTTTAATATATATTGGAAGAGAAATCTCCCTATATGGCTGAATTTTATACAATAGATCAAATCAATCATGCCAATTCGATCATCATCACACCTTACAAAAAGATCTCAAGAGATGCTGAAGAAAATGGACTGGTTCTTTCTCTCTGATATCCTAATTCTGACAAAGCAATGTCAAGAGAACAATGTCAACAGAAGCATCCCTAGGAGTAACTGAATCATCTTCCTATGTTTTCAAGCAAACATTTAAAAGTACTTGGGTTCTCTGAATTTTTGCACATTTGTGACTTTAACTATTACTAAAGCTTGATGTGCATCCTCCTGTGTTCCCAGTGGGCAGTCTGAGTGAACAAACAATCCCAAAGTTCAATGCTTGTTCCATTTATTTCATAAACAATATAATACAATCTGATATGCCAGGGTGAAAAAAAATCTTCATCTTAAATAGCATTTCCAATAAAAAATAAATTGTTTAGATTAAAGTTGGGATTCACAGGCAGAATTGGCTATTTTTCCTTGTATTATTATTATTAAAGTCCTTAGAAGTACAGAAAACTATGCAGTACAGTATGTGGTTATTAACATGTCTATAATTTTGATGCATTTTAATGTTTTTATCTTACACACAAATTGCTTTCATTGTTTGGTTTTAACATTGGGAGATACCATGCAAAAAAAGGTGCAAAGGAAAGCTGATAATATCTTTACTGGAAAGCAATGTCTGTTTTTCATTATTTTTTATAATCCTAATTTGTTTACTGCAACAATAGCCTAAACTTAAAAGAGTTTGATGAATTTGACTGTTCTATTAATCTTTTTATGTCCAAGATCCATCTTCTGCTTATGTAAAAAATAATGCAAATGTAATCAGCCCATAGTATTCTGCATTCTTTTCTTTAGATAGTTTTGCAAACTCATTTCTTATCATAAAACAGTTTGCTTATGAGGTTTCTGTTAGCTAATTTAAGTTCTTTTGAAGCATTTGGAGGATACTTGAATCCTGGGCTTATTATGTTTTAGGAGTACTCTTAAATCCTGGCTTTTAAAGGAATTCCAGAGAGAAAAATATAACATAAAGTAGAATTCTCATCTTGAAATATGCTTGGATGCATTGTTCTTGGTGGCCTTATTATTTTCTTAGTAACTTTTGTTATTATTAATATGTATTATTGTTTCTTCTTTTATTATATTATTTTTGTATTTTAATTATCTCTTATGATGGGGGAAAAGATTGGGAATGTCAGTACGATGAACAAAATCAGGTGTCCTGCCAGAGTCTGTGGTCCTCTGTCCTTCCCAGTATGTGCTTTTTGTTCCCACAGGTGTTATCCTACCTGGAGAAACCATAAATTTTTCCTTCATCTTTAAATCATTGAGTGCAGGCATTTTCAGTGAATCCTGGGAGTTTAGTACTCATCCTGAGTTATTAGGAGGAGCTATGTTACAAGTTACTCTATGGGGAATTGCACTCTATGAAGATACTACAGTTAAACTGAGAGAGGATCTGGAGGTAACCAAACCCATTTTCATGAGATACATGGTAGAAGAAGTTCACTTTGCTCCAAGTTTACATTGCTTCTAAGATTGGATGTTGTGAAAGATGAGTAGATTTGCATTGCAACTAATATTTAATTGCTTGCAGAAAAACAAACTTTCCGATGAGGTTTTCTATAGAGGGAGGTGTGGAAGTATTACTGAATTATGATTCTGTATGTTAGCACAGATCCAAAATGGCAACTGTTGGAGTTCAAATTACAACTGCTATAAAGCCTGGTAAAGTTTGTGATGATGGGGTAAAATTAACCAGATTTTCTAGCTTAATGTGTTAACGTGAATATGGCCTATCTAGGCATACATTTTATACATAGACAAGCTATGTTCACATGACACATTAAGTTAGAAACTGTATACTATTATTTTGCTTGAAATTCCAGAAAGACTTAGAAGCTCGAGAAATTGCCCTTATAGTAGAAGAAAATCTAGAAGACTTACTTAATCGGATTCGAACACCTGCACGAGTAAGATCCCCAGTTGATGCTTATGTCACAGAAGAAGAACTATTTCACAGAAAGAATCCAGAGGTATATTCTGTCCTTTACAGGGAATGGGGGATGTGGGTGGGGAGGGAGAATAAATAATATGGGGCTGATACTGGTGAGAGAATTGGGAACCTTCTTTTTTTTAAAAAAAATAATTTTGATAGAAGTTTGTACATAAGTAAAAAATAAATACAAAAACATATAAAGACAAGAATGAAAAAAAGTGCAGAAAATAATACAGTTAAGGGGGGAAACCAAATGACTTTCACCCTTTACAGCAGTTACAAACTTACCCCTCCTTCCTCTTTAACATTACAATAATCCCTTCAGTTCCACGTTCAATCTTTTCTCAACCATCACATCCAGAAATCATCATTTCATTTTTTTTCCATTTTGTCTATAAAAGATTTCCAGTCTTTTTAAAAAGAATTTATTATCTTGTCCTTGATACAACAGATGAACTTTGCCATCCCGCTACTTCTGCCATCTTCACAATCCATTCTTCCATTGTGGGTACTTCAATATTTTTCCATATTTGTACATATGTTAATCTTGCTGATGTTATCATATATAAAATCTTCCATAACTCTTTTCTAATGGACCATTCCTAAGTTCCAAAAAAAAAGAGTTCTGATTTCATCTCAATATTAAACTTCAAAAATTTTTGTATCATCATTATGTATTTATTTCTAATTTTTTGCATAGTATAAAGTCCCTTCATGTTTTTTGCATTTCTAGTATTGACTAGAAGTATTTTTTGTACATCTCTGATAATTTATTTGGTGTCAAAGAAAATGAAAAACTTATCTCTTAAAACTTAGCTCTTAAAGTATAACACAATCTGAATATCAGTGTCTTTATACACATTCTCACCCATTGATCCACTTATATATTACACATGTAGTCCTTCATTAACAATGGTAATTGGACTGGAA